CTGAATGGCTGGGGCCTTGGTGTCCCCTCGTCCCACATCTAGATGGTTGTGCAATGAGACTCTTGATGCTGGCACCCGCCATTGGGCAGCAGAAGGCTTGGCCTTTCTCACCTTGGACGCAGATGTCAAGGAAGAACTTCTGGAGGACAACGCAGCTCTGCAGGCTCTGTTCCAGCTGGCACAGGTAGAGCCTCTTTGGGAGTTGAACAAGATGGAGAGGAAACTATCCCATCAGCCATATTCTAATCTGGGTGATCAGCAACTGGTCAAGTTTGCATTGGGTCTGAATGAAGGCTACTTACAAACGGTCCTTAGAGGTCCAGACATCCTAGCATCCTGTGGTCATATGGCCGCTATTTGTGACCTTTGCTGGCTTCTTACCAGCAAAGTCAGTGGGGTTCCCACCTCTTGGCATGGAGAGCCAAGTGGTTAGTCTACGATAGCAAAAACTCAGTGTGCATCTTTTCTGATTAGATTTAGAAAGATATAAGCTTTTATGAGTTACAGTTCACTTCATCAGATGCACAGAGTAGCTGCACTGGTGTAAGGTTCAGTTGGAGAGAAGTGAGGGAAAATGGTAGAAGAAAATGGTTGGTCTGACAGATGGAAATCACATATGGGACAGAGCACCTCATTAGTTGTTTAAAACCCATTGTATTGGTTGAAACCTCCTGAGATTGTCTGAAGCCTTTTAATGTCTGCGGGTGCAACTGTTCCTCACTTGGCGATCCTTTGAAAGTCCTGCTTTTCTAAAAGAGTTGCTTTGAAATCTGCTACGGAGGTTCTGGAAAGTTGAAATGTTCTGATGTTACTTAGTCCTGGTTTTGAGTTCTGATGTCAAACATGTCCATTAATACTTTTCTGCAAAGTTGTCCTCTGGGTTGTATGAAGAATCCAGAGGGGCGTTGCTAGCAGATGATGGCATATCTCACATTGGAGGAGCAACATGTGAATGTGCCTCTGATGTGTGTGTTCTTGTTGGGCCTGTGATGAAGCTCTTGGTATAGATGTAGGCATCTGGGTTTGTTGCAGCGTTTACTTCCCTCTTTATCCTGTTTTTTCTCGCTGCTTGTGAGAATGTGCTTCAGGATGGGTGGAGTCTGTGCTCAAATCTGGATCTGCCCCTGTGCTTGAAAAGTGCTATGTCATTATGCAGAATGGTTGTATTGCACATTTGTCTGCAATAAAAGAATAACATTTTGAAGAAAAGATTGTCGTGCAGCACATTGACTGGTGGTTCGGGGGAAGACAGTTTCTGCTTGAATGTTGGAAGATATGTCCTAACGATAAGACAAGTGTGACAATTGAACCAAGGGAGATGGGCTGTTTCTGTCCAGTGGAAGAAGACGGCTGTCTCCAGGGATGTCAGTTTTGATTCTTGGAATGCTCTGGCTTAAATGGATCATTTATCCAACTGCAGACTTCCAGGATATTTGCAAGTTACAAATGCTGACTGGTGATCTCAAAGGGCTGCCTAATAAACCTCCCCTTTCCCTGCTCCTTGCTTCCATCCTAGTCAGAGAATCGGAGCTGCTTATTTGCAGTGGCCTCTACACTGGTCAACTGTACCAGCAGTTATGACTTTGAGGAACCTGACCCGCAGATGGTGGAGCTTGCTAAGTACGCTAAGCAGCACATCCCCGAGAAGCACCCCAAGGTGAGAAGGACAAACGCCCAGGCAGATGAAGGGTGGAGGCCAAAGCCCCGTGGGAGAGAAGGGGCTGTGCATCTCAGAGGGGGGCAGAGGTGCAGTGGAGGTTCCTGTAAAGGGCTTCCCCTGCTGTGTGCCTTCACCCTTCTCGTCTTCTAGGATAAGCCAGAGTTCGTCCACAGACGTGTGCAGAAGCTCCTGGCCGCTGGTGTGGTTTCGGCTCTTGTCTGCATGGTCAAGAACGAGAGTCCTTCTTTAAGCCCTGCCTGCCGGGAGCTGATTTCCAGGTGAGGCTCTGCGGCTTGACCTGGAGTCCAGAGGCGAATAAACCTGGAACGGTCAGGTGGGGATGAGTTGCTCAGTGTATGGCCTGAGTCCCTGGGGGACAGCTGGGCACTGAGCTCTCCTGCCACAGGGCAAAGATGACTTACGGCTCGAGAGACCTTCAGACATCGGTTGATGCTCCATTGATTGAACATGCCTGTGAGATACAGCTTCCCATTTTGCTGCTGACCTTGCTAGGCAGCGGTTCCATACTTGGGCAAAGGAAGGGAGGGGAAAGCGCTGCAGAAGACTCTTGAAAATCAGCAGTCCATGGGCTCTACGCATCTCCATAGTCCTTCCAGAAAAAGGGGCTGAAGCATTTTTTTCTCCCTGCAGCTTATTGGAGCAAACTAACATGGTTCCTGAGACAGATAAACATTAGTTGAATGGTTTTGGGTTTTTTTTTGTGTGTGTGTGTCAGGCCCCAACAGAGGCTCTAGGGATGAAAAATACAACCCAGTCTCTCTTTCTGCAGTTGCTGTTTTTTGGCCCCTCCAGGCTCCTTAGTTAAAGTGAAAGTCCCAAATGTTGGAAAATGATATTTAAGCTTACAATCCACTCCCCTGCAGGAATCTAGCTGAGAGCATCCCAAAGGAGGCCATGTCACCTCCGACTGCAGTTGCTCTCCGATGCGGCAGGGTTTCTGGATCCTGGGTGCCCAATGATTTGGACTGGGACTTAACAGGGCAGGGTGGAGACAAGGGCTCCGATTTGTTTGCCACTCTATTGGTGGGAGGGGATGTGCTTGAACCTGGCTCTGACATACACACACCCTCGCATGTCTTGCTGTGCTACAGGGTTTTCCTGGCCGTAGTGGATAACCCGGAGAACCGTGGGGCTGTGGTAGCTGCTGGAGGAGGGAAGGTGAGTATCACCCCTTCCTCCTCTTGCTTTTCCCAACAAGGGTCTCGGCTGACCAGTCTCTTTCTCCCTTCCCTGTCACCCCACAGGCGCTCATCCCTCTGGCTCTTGAGGGGACTGATGTGGGGCAAAGCAAGGCCGCGCAGGCTCTGGCCAAGATCACCATCACAACGGCTCCGGAGATGGCCTTTCCTGGAGAGCGGGTCTGTGCCGGCCAGCACTGGTGGGAACGGGAGGCAGCTCTCCCTGAGTCCTCCTCTCCTGTGAGCAGGGCAGGACTCCTGGCTGAGCTGGGCACTTTTCTTCTGCAGGTCTATGAGGTGGTCCGTCCCCTGGTGAGCCTCCTGCACTTGACTCGTTCTGGCCTGCAGAATTTTGAGGGGCTGATGGCACTCACCAACCTGGCTGGGACCAGTGAGAGGCTCAGGTGAGGCCTGTTTGGGGAGGCGGGATCCTTTGGGGTCTGGGCATGGCTTTTGGGGCTACTTCTCCCCATGCCTCCTGCAGGCAGAAGATCCTGAAGGAAAAGGCCGTGCCCATGATTGAAGGCTACATGTTTGAGGAGCACGAGATGATTCGTCTGGCAGCCACCGAGTGCATGTGCAACCTGGCCTTGAGCCCGCAGGTGAGAAGCTAAAAGCGGGCCGGGGGGTGGGTGGGCAGCTGCCTCTCAGGCCAGGCTTGACAGCTGCTCATCTTTCCTACAGGTGGCAGAGCTGTTTCTGGCCGAAGGCAGCGATCGTCTGAAACTGCTGGTTTTGTACAGTGGGGAGGAAGATGAGAGGCTTCGTCGGGCAGCTTCTGGGACACTGGCAGTCTTGACCTCGCTGCTGCCACAGATCTGTATCCGGATTTCCCAAATGGTAAGTTTGCTTGAGACAGCCCCCCCCCCCACACACATGGACACTTTTTTTTGTAAAAAATTTTTTATTTTCAGTTTTACATTACATCATAAAAAATACTTCAGATAAAGAGTAAAGTAAATTTATACACATAACTTTCGGTATTGCTCACCCATTTCCCCCCAAACCGCATCCACCCTCTAACCTCTTCTCTCACTTCCCTCTTTCCCTCTTCTTCTTCACTCTCCCCCTCCCCTCAACCTTCCTGCTTACTTCTCCCCTTCCTCCTGTCTTCCCATTCCGGATGCAGTCCAGGAGAAACGCCCGAGCAATTCCTCTCTCCAAAATAAAACATAATATTATAAACAATGAAACTGTTTCTACTTATCTGAACTATTTAACTCACATGGACACTTACACACACACAGAGAGCTCCTGAGGGGTGCGCCTTGCTCTGTGAGCCTGGGTAGGCTAGAGGCAGGATCCCTCTGCCACAGGCCTGCTTTCCAAGGGGCACTGCCAGCTCTGGAAGCAGGGTTGCTGCCTGGTGGGTGGGGCATCCAGTGGGTCGCAGGGGCAGGGTCGGGCATGCCCGCCACATGCCTCTTGGTGCTTCTCCCCAGACAGCAGACTGGCTGGAAATCCTGCAGTCTCTGCTGCTCAGCCCCTGCACAGAGCTTCAGCACCGCGGGGTGGTCGTGGTGAGGAACATGATGGCAGCCGACCGGGAGGTGGCCACGAAGCTGATGGAGAGCGAGATGCTGGAGATCTTGTCCGTGGCGACCAGGGCGGAGGACAAGCCCCAGGTGGCTCAGGTGGCCCAGGAGTGCCTGGCTCAGGCTGTCTCTTACGGCTTGATCAAGCCCAATGCTGCAGTCAGGGAGTGAGCGCCCTTGTGCCGTGCGCCCCCCCCCTCCTCAGAAGCACCTCTGCTGTGCCTGGGCCTGGTGGGGCACTACTGACTGCTGGGAGCTGGCAAAGCAGGAGCTCTTGGAGGGCCTGGAGCAGCTCCCCCCCCCCAGGAAATCCTTTGTCAGAGCTGTTCCTTCAGCCTGCGCTCCCCCTGTGGAGCCTCAGCCTCCCCCTTTGCTGCTATACAACCGTTCTTCTCTTTTGCACTTTCCGCATTTTGTACATTCTGTAGGGAATAATGGGACACGTTGCATAAATAAAAACAAAAGAAACCTCTTCCTGCATCTGGTATATTCAATGTTTGAAAGGGCAGCACCTGTAAAGGAGCTCTATGTGGTCAGGGAGAGGCAAGGGGGAAAAAAGACGTTGCCTCTAAGGGGGAATCGCGCTTCCCATAGATCCATCCTGGCTGATGCCGGTGGGAAAGGCCGTGGCCGGAGCAGGGCCGGGGATGCGCCTTGGCAGCACTTCAAAGCCCGAGAAGTCGTCCGGCCGAGCGCGCAGGCCCCACCCCGCGGCTTCCGGGCTTGCCCGGCATTCGCAGCGGCGGCAGCGACCGTCACTTGCTTGCTGGGCTGCCGGGCTCTGCTCCGCCGGGGGGGGGGGGATTGATCCGGGCCGCCCGGCTCAGCCGAGCCAATGCCCGGCGGGGGAAGGGCGCCCGGTCCCGCAGCGGGCGGGGAGAGCGGCTGGTTCCGCTTCGGCTTCCGCTGGGGCGGCGGCGGCGCGCAGGGCGGCCCTGAGCCACTGTCCGCGGAGGGGCCGGTGCGCCGCGTGAGGCCCAGCTGGAGCTTCGCGGCGGTGGTGGCGGCCGGGGCGGGCCGGGTGCGGCTGCAGGGCGCGGTGGCGGCGGCGCTCCCGCAGGACTGCCTGGACGCGCTGCCCTCCGAGACGCACGTGCTGCTGCTGCGGGAGGAGGCGCTGGAAGCTTGGCCCGCCGCGACCGGGCCGGCCGAGCTCCTGGAGGGGCAGCCCGTTTGGCGGAGGGAGCTGCGGGCGGAGGAGGCGGCGGCGGCAGGTGAGCGGCGGCGGAGGGCGGGAGAGGGGCGGCCGCGCCCTCCCCCCCTCCGCACTGACCCGCCCCCTTGTCCCCGCTAGAGCTGCCGCTGGTGCCCGGCGGCTACGTGGCCCCCCGGCCGCCCTTCTTCACCGCGCTCCCCGCCACCCTCCCGGCGCGCCGGCTGCTGCTGGGCCTGGAGCACGCGCTGCTGCTGGCCGCCGGCGGGGCGCTCTTCTCGTGGGGCGGCGGCAGGTGAGCCCGGGCGGGCGGGCGGGCGGACGAGGCGGCGCGCCGCAGACGGAGCGGAACCGAGCGCCCTTTCCTCTCCGGCAGGCACGGGCAGCTGGGGCACGGCGACCTGGAGAGCCGGCGGGAGCCGCGCGCGGTGGAGGCGCTGCAGGGCTTGGCCGTGGCGGAGGCGGCGGCGGGCGGCTGGCACTCGGCGGCCGTCAGCGGTGAGCGAGGCGGGGCGGGCGCGGCCCCTCCCCGGGCGAGCGAGGGAAGAAGCCCTTCCCCGACGGCGACTCACACCTCCCCCCCCCCAGATGCGGGCGACCTGTATTTGTGGGGCTGGAACGAGGCCGGACAGCTCGGGCTGCCCTCCAAAATGTCCACCGAGAGTGGAGCAACAGCGGCAGCCAGCGGGGAGGCCGCTCAGGCCCCGCCGAATCGCCCCCTCAGCCAGCGTGGCGACGGGCTGGACGTGGGGGCTGCGGACGGGCCCGGACGCGACGAGGTGCCCTTCGTCTCGCTGCAGCCCTTCCCTGCCCTGCTGGACTTGCCCGAGGAGGCCGAGGTGCGGCGGGTCAGCTGCGGGTCCCGACACACGGCCGCCGTGACGGGTAAGGAGCCCTCCTGGAGCGGGTGGGTAGGCCGGCGAGGGCAAAGAGGTCATGGATTCTGGCCCCGCAAAGGCCCTCCTGGCAAACCAGGGAAGATGTTCAGGCAGCTCCCGCCTGGGGGGGGAGAGGACTCACAGCTGCAGGCTTCCTTCAACCTCCCCCTGCCCCCCATTACAGCCCTTCCCCCGTTGTTTCCTTTTCAGGCACCGGACATCTCTACACCTGGGGCTGGGGTAGGTAAGGTGCCGGTGGGGCTGGAGGTCTGTGGCCCGAGGCTTTGCTGGGCCAACAGTTGCTTTTGTTCCCAGGGAAATATGGCCAGCTGGGGCACCAGGATGCGGCCACCTCTGACCAGCCGAGGAGAGTTTGTTACTTTGTGGAGAGGAATCTGAGAGTGCAGGAGGTAGTCTGTGGTCCGTGGACCACATTTGTCCAAGCTGAGGCTGCCGAGAATGGGCCCTGAATGTGCCATATCCACCATACATATCTTTGGAGGCAGAGCTCCTTCACGGAGCTCAATCTTGGCTCAATTGTCCGGAGATGTCCTGTGAGTGAGAATTGGGGAGAGGGTTGTTGTCACTGGCCACCTCAGGCTTCCTCTGAGGTGAGCAGTGTAGATGTTTCTTAAGGGAGCCATGTTTACATATCAGAAGCACAACATTAAATGCAGAATAAAATGATCTTTTATGCAGAGCAAAGTCAGACATTTAAAGAAACCATGATTATTAAATGGGCAATCAAAGTGCCAGGAATGCCAGCCTCTTAGCCCAGCCATGAGAGGGCCAGTCAGTGAAGAGGGAGGTAGTGCATGTCAGGACTGGTTCGCCTGTTACCTGCATTTTCTCCCTCGCTCATAGCTTGGCAAAAGGCAGAGTAGAGATTGTGGAGTGGAACGTAATGGGAGGGATGCTATCTAGGCAACCGAGGCATCTTTTGAGAGCCTGCAGGAACACCAAGGTCACTAACGCAAGTGCTGGATGGAGAAATGGATCTTTCCCATAAGAAGAAGTATTACTATTGGACAATGTGAATATCCAGTGGGTGAGAGGAGAGGGAATCTATTGTTTAATTAAGTAAGCTTTCTTGTGGAAAAATCAGAGCTGGTTTCACTTCTTCTGGGCCAATGTAAATTTTCAGTAAAGTATTATATTCTTGGTAAAATCATGTCCCAGGAGTTTCTTTTTTTTGGAAATGCCAACTGGACAGTTGACAGTACATCCTAGAGGATTCCCTGTAGTTTCTCCCCTTCCTGTGGCTAAGGTGAGCAGAAGGCCACCTGCTGAAGAGCAGGACCTGGGTGGACCATCCACTTCGGTTGCCCAAGGAAAGGAGAGAAGCAAACCGCCACCTGCTGCCCCCTGCCTTCCCACCCCCATGAATAAGGCAGCAGGCCTGGGCCCAGAACAGCTGCTACAGCTAGACCTTTATTCCCTGTAACATAAAACTTGGAAATCAAGTCATTAAAAACAATTAAAAGTGGTAGCATAAACCAGGCCCCAGAAGGTCCAGTTCATGCCACATCCTATATGGTGAGAGGATCCAGGGTTGGCAACGCCCCCCCTTCAGCCATCAGGATTGGAAGCTGTGGAGTTGAGGACGTGGGACGGGTGCTCAGATCTGGAAGCCTCTGAAAGTGCGTGCTGGGGAGGGAGAAGAACAATTGGTGTGAAGGATGCAGAGTCAGATGGAGCTGTGGGGGGGGAAGGGCTTGAGGCAGTGGGGTGGGTATTTGGACAACATGCAAGGGTGTTATGTTCAGAGGGGCTTTTGGTAGAAGCAGTGGCAGGGAAGAAATGGGGGGGGGCATTTTCTTCAGGGATAGAGCGAGGCAGAAATGTGGACTGCCCTGCCCAAGCTTGCTTCCAGCCATGGAGTCCTGTCTTTCTGCATGTAGCGCCCCCCCCTTCAAAACTGCCATTTACAGGCAGGGCAAGTAGCAGCAAAAAGAGCCCCAGCAAGTGGGACCCCCCCAGCCCCTTGGCCTTCCTTTGGCAATGGCCGACTGGCCAGAGGCCCTGATGGGGAGTGCAGCCATCTAGCGACTCCTGCGGGCGGCTTCTAGCTCCAGAGCCAGCGGGGATAGGGAGAGAAGAGGGAGAAGGGAATTACCGCAAATGCTGAATAGGTGCTGGCAACAGAGTAAATACTGCCATTGTGCTGGGCAGGGGCTGTCAGGGTACACCCACCGCTCAGAACTGTTCTGTTGAGCTGAGAGATGTTCTCCTTGTTGCGTTCCGTCTGGCCTTTGGAATGGGTCTTGGCAATCAAAGGGGCGGGGGTCCGGACAGGCTGCGGACATAGAAAAAGGAATGGCACTTTAGGCAAGGAGTCAGAAGATTAAAGAAAGGGGCACCGGAAGGGCCATGTTTGACAAAGGTGTTAAACTTTGGTGGACCTCTTCTGGGAATTTGTGGCTGCCATTCTCCATTTTCCCCTCCTCCAACTATTGGTCTGAAGGCATTTCCAAGCCACCCAGCCCCTAGTGCAGGTGTGTGCCATGTGGGCTCTATGAGCTCTGGTGTCCCAACTGTCTTGTTGCTTTTGCCTTCTGAATAATTTTGTTTGTATTCTGAAAACTTGAGCTGCAGACGGCCTGCGCCACAGCTAAAGGGCTGGATTTGGGCAGTAGCCTTCCTAAGCAAACTAACCTACTCTGAATCCTGGGAGGTATTATTTTGGCCGGGACGCTTGCCAAGTACTAGGAGCACTGCAATTGTTTCAGGCCCGCTGACAACACACACAAAGCCAGGCTGCTGCTTAGCTGTGGTTGCAGGACCCTTGAGGCCCTTCAACTTCTCCAGGAAGCAATCTCTGCGTTCTCTCGTTTCTAAGCAGTTTATTCTGTTACAGTTCTCCCTTTATTCCGTAATTTTTCTACTCCTGGGTTACACTTTGCCACTTTTGCACTTGCCCAGTTCCCACTGCTTTGCTTCCTCTAGTTTTTCCTGCCTCTTGGCCTTCTGAAACAGCTGGGAATGGGACCGGAGGCCACCTCCCTCCAGACCAAAGAGGTCAGCTCTTTACCTTCCCTCCTGACAGGGGTGTGTGGCATCCAGGGGAATTTAACACTGAACCTTTCAGGGCTGAGCGGATGGTGCTGTTGGGAGTTGTAGTGGTAATGTTGAGCTGCAAGGAAAATCCAGGTGTTAGCAAAGAAAGCGGTCCCTGGTGCAAAGCAACAAAACCCGATGACCGTTTCCAGGGGAAAGTGCTGCTAATCAGTTTTCAGTTTCAGATCTACTGCATGTCTTTACATCACAATACCTTCAGCTGCACAGAAAACGATTAGAAACCTGATCAAGGACATAATTTTATTGTGCCTCATACTGGCAGACTCAGAATAACAGAACAACAGAATAAGCGAGTTGGAAAGGACTAGAAGGTCTTCTAGTCCCACCCCCCACCCCACCCCGCTTGAGCAGGAGACCTTATACCACTCCAGACAAATGGCTGTCCAATCTCTTCTTAAAAATCTTCAGTAATGGAGCCCCCACAACTTCTAGAGGCAAGCTGTTCCATAATTAATTGTTCTGTTGGGAAATTCCTCCTTGGTTCTAGGTTGGATGTCCTTCTGATGAACTTCCACTCAGTGCTTCTTGCCCTGCCCTCAGGTGCTGTTGACCCCTCTTATTTGTGGCAGCCCCTCAGATACTGGAACCCTGCTATCATGGCATCTCTAGGTCTTCTTTTCACTAAACTAGACCTACCCAATTCCTGCAACCGTTCTTCATATGTTTTAGTTTTACAGCCCTCTAATGATCTTCATTGCTCTCCTCAATTGTTCCTTGAAATGTGTCCCTGCACAGGGATGGATTGTGTGCTTCTGCCACCTGGTGCTGAGTTGCAGGAGGCTGGGGGCCTTTCCCAAGGAACTCGGAGGCAGATCAGCTCAGATCAACTGAGTCATCGGTGGGCAGAAAGGGGCCCAGCAGAGACCCTCCCTAAACATTTCCAGAATAGCAGTTACACAGTGTGCTTTACTCTGGCAAGAATTTCTCTCCTGGCGAACAGCAATAAAGAAACTAACCCGGGCAAAACTCTGAAGCTTAGAAAGCAACCGTGGGAACAAAAGGAAAAAGCTGCTGCTTGGATAAGCTTAGAAAGCTGGGAAGAGGGGGGGGGGGGAAGGCAGCACAAATAAGGAAGGAAAAGATGACACTAAAGGGAAAAGAAAGAAAAAAAGCTGTCCTGCATTTATATACATGAGGTAAAAATGCAAACCTGACTTCTCGGCGACCCTGCTTACCTTTCGTGCTTTGCCAGGTGTGGTGATACCCAAAGCCCGTCTCTTGGTGGGGGTGCTGCCATAGAGCATCTCCTCCTCTGTCTGTCGGGACTTTTTGAGTTGCTGAAAGACAGAAGGGAGTGGAATAGGCTAAGCAGGAACTGACAGTCACCTCAGAAACAACATCTGAAATTGATCTTAATTCATCAGAGAGATGGACCAACTGCTTGGGTACCACCCTTGGAATCAGAGGGCAAGTCAGAAATTGGAGGAGGAAGGCACTGCAGGAGGGGCTGCAAGGCCCTGGCTGCCCTCTGGCTGCAGGGACTAAGCACCCTCACTGGTCAACAGGCTTGCTACACTTGCTGGACAAGATAAACCGACAACCGTCCGACCAGGAAGATGGCTGGAATCCTGAGGCTGCCAACTCACCCGCTCCTGCCTTTCCTTCTCCTTCTCCAAATGATGGAGGCGCCACTGCTCGGCCACGTGCTCCATGAAGCGCTGCCCGCTCACCAGGAAGTCCTGAGCATGCTCTTGCTCCCACAGTTCAACGCGGACCCTCAGTTCCTCCTCCAGCTGCACCAGAAGAAGGCAGTTTAGGTAGGGCTGCCAGAGGCCCACGAGGCGGGGAGAGTGACTGGGACCACTTGCCTTGGGAAGGGTCTTCTGCAGCTTGGCGCGCAGCTTCTCTTCTTTCAGGAGGTTGCCTCCTCGGTTGGTGAAGCGACTTGGGTCGGTGGCCTTTTTCTACGGGGAGGAAAAGGTGAGGGTCTCCTGCAGCTCGAAGAGGCAGCTGAACCCAGCTCAGCCCAGCCCAGCCCAGCCCTACCTCAAGCTCCTGAAAGAGACACCAGCTCCTCTTCCACTTGTGGATTGCTTCAAAGAGCTCTTGATGCACCTCATAATAATGCTTCAGTCGCACAAACTCATTGTTGTGTTGCTGCAACAACTCTTCGGTGAAGGTGTCTGCGAAGGAGGAAAGCACGAGGGATGGCAGGAAGGGCTACTGAAGAGGGCCACACTCGCCCCCAACACTGGTCCCCAACCCACCTTCATAGAAGGGGCCAAAGGAGCGCCTCTGCTCTTCCCCGAAAAAGCACTTGTCCCAGTAGGTGGCCAGCTCAGCCCGAATGGCCTCCACCACCTTCTGCAGGTTCTGGCCCTTCAGTTCTTCCAAGCGGTCGACTTCCAGGCGCAGCTAAAAGAGGCAGTGCGGAGGAGAGTCGAGGCCATGAAACACAAGGAAGGGAGGCCTTATTTGATGCACACCATGCTTCCATGGCAAGGTGGCAACCTCTCAATGGGAACGTAGGGCAGAGTGCTGCTCCTGGACCCCCAGAAACCAACGGCCCTCGTGCCCAGGAAAGAAACCCAGCCTCTTACAGCGTTCATAATGCTGGCTCTGGAGCCCTCCATATACGGAGCGAAGGCGTCTCTCTCCTCGGGAGGCACCTGCAGCCAGTCCCAGAGCATCAGGATGCGGGAGCGCATCTCTTCACACACGGACTCTTTCTGAGTTCTCCTCTCTTCCAGCTGGGAGACAGTAAAGGAACAGCTTTAGGTCCAAGGAGGACTCAAGGAAGGTAGGTGGGTGCTTCCCCTGCCCCCAGCCCCTTTCCCCAACCTGCTGCAGCAGATCCTTCAAGGCAGCCAAGTTGTCCAGGGAGAGGCAGAAGACGTCTGTGTTCTGGCACATGACCTCTTGCTCAAAGGCAGTGCTGGGCTGCTGCTCCAGCTCCTCCATGCAGAGGACAACCTGCTGCTTCAAGCGGATGAACTCTGCCTGCCGGTTCTCCTACGGGGAAAGGAAAGGGTCAGTACCCAGCTGCCCCGCCCTACCGGCCCATCCGCCCGCCCCTTGGAGACTTGCCCAGACCTTCTCAGCTGCCAGCGATGCCAGGTGGCACCGGAAGCGGTCCAGCTCGGCCAGGGTGGGCACAGTCTCGCCACTGCCGATGCTGCTGTAGGGTGCCCGTCCGAGCAGCCCGGCCAGCTCCCGGTCGCGCTCCTGCAGGGCGCGCACCTCCTGCCGCCTCTCGCGCTTCTGCTTGAGCATCACCTCCACGCGGGTGCGTAGATCCTTCTCCAGCTGCAGGATAGTGACCTCATCTGCCTCCTGCAAGATAGGCAGATGACAGGCGGGCTCGGGCGGCGCCGGGGGAGGGGGCGCGCCGGGGGGGGGCACCGTGGACTCACCTGGAAGGGCGCCAGCTGCAGCTCTTGGCACAGCGCGGCCAGCTCCCTCCGGCACAGCGCGATGCTCTTCAGCAGCCGCTCCCGGAGGCTCTCCTCCTCCGCCACCATCCGGTCCAGCAGGTCCTGCGCGGCACCGGACAGAAGAGCGCGCTTCAGCCATCGGCCGCCCCGCGGGCCCGGCCCCAGCCCGCCCCGGCCTGCTCACCTGGACGTGCCTCTTGACCACCTCCGTGCGCTGCAGCCGCTGCTCCTCCGGGATGCCGATCTCCTCCCAGATGCCGCGCAGGTGTCTCAGAGCCTGGGTCAGGCAGGCCACCGACTCGCCGGCCAGGAGCTCGCTGCGCAGGGAGGGAAGCGGGACGGGGGCCGTCAGCTCGGATGCCCTCGGCCCGTCCCCCGCGCCCCCCGCCCGCCCGCCCGCCCGCCCGCGTTCCCCCGGCCCGCGCCACACCTGCGTCTCATCTCCGCCGGCCGGGCGCTTCCGCGGCCCGCTGCAGCTCGGTGCTGACCGTTTCTGCTCGGCGATTCAAACCCCCGCCACACTGCCATTGGTTCCGTCCGAGGCCCCGCCCACGGGTGTTCTGCTACGGCCAATCAGGGCGCGGCGGTCGCCGGGGGCGGGGCCACGTCGGCCAGCTTGCCAAGGATCTTCAAACTTGACTTGTGGACTTCAACTCCCAGAATTCTTGGCTCAGGATTTCTGAGAGTTGAAGTCCACAAGTCATGAAAGGGCTAAGTTTGAAGAGCCCTCAGCCACGCGAAGGGCGTCTTCCAAGGCCGAGCCCGGGTGACTGCAGGGAGGGGCGTTGCGGGCATCGCCCGGGGGCGGCACCGCTCTTCCCCCTCATGGAAGCCTCGCTCCCCCATCCTGCTGCAGCTCCTCAGGGCCGGGCCTGCTTGTGCGGGTTGGGCCAACGCTGCGCCTTAGTCGCCTCGCCGTCTGTGGGAGGCGTGAGAACCGTGCGGTGCGCAGCCTAAGGTGAGAAACCCGGGGAGCCCGACTTCTGTCCAGCCTTGAGCGACGCTGGGCCAGTCACCGCCAGGGTAAGGAGGCGGCGGCGGCTTCAGAAAAACGTCTTAAAACCTTGCCTAGAAAAATGCAGGGTCCGGTCCCGAATCCGACATGAACGAACAGACGGGGGGGGGGGGAGGAACGTTAGTGAAAGCGGTCAGAGCAGGGGGTGTTCAAACTTGGCCCTTTTATGACTTGCGGACTTCAACTCCCAGAATTCCTCACCCAGCATGCCTAACAGGAATTCTGGGAGTTGAAGTCCACAAAGCATAAAAGGGCTGAGGAATTCTGGGAGTTGAAGTCCACAAGTCATAAAATTGCCAAGGTTGAGGACTCCTGAGGTAGGGAACAAATAAGTTTGCCTGAAATCTGAGGCCATTTAAGGCATCCGAGTGAAGTGTTCTGTCCCTAAAGACGGGTGAACCCCACCTCGCCATTTCTCCCATGGCTGAAATTCCCTGAGGCTGTTGGACTCTTTGTAATATTTTCTGTCCTTCCCAGTTGCCGCCCCACAGTTGTGGTGGGTCCCCCACCCCCTATTCCCATCCAGTTTGGTTTGGTTCAGCTTCTGCTAGAAAGGAAACAATTGCTGGGATGTATTTCTGATTTGGGGAAGGGAGAGAATGAGGGTGAGGGGGTACAAAGAAACAGGAAGCCTTGCATGATGGGCAAAAATTGACCAGTAGCAATTACTTCAATTAATCTTTTATTTTGTTCTATTCCTGTGGTTTCTGGCAAGATGCTTATGCACGTTATACATGGACCCATTTGTTGCAGAAGAAAAAGATAGCTGAAGGCTGAAAATATGGGGGGACTGGGCCGTGTCGGGTTTTTTCAGTCTAAAAAGAGGTTTTCTTCATCCACTTTTCCTGGGTGAGGAGAAAACGGCTGTCTGAAATTCTGGGCTTTTTTCCTTTCACGAAAGACGTTCTAATTTCTTTTCACTGCTGCACACTTTGTTGGCTTGCTAGACACTTCCTCTCCCAAGGAAAGTTCCTGTTTCCAAAGAAGCACCTTCCAATTAATAAAAAACTCCAACAGAGGGATCATAGCAGCTCCCAGCAGAAGACCAGAAGGGGAAAGGTGCTCTGTACTTTCCTTGTCCCTGGTAGGGTAAATAACAGTGATTCTCCAACTGATGGGAACACGGCCTCTCCCTGGCTGGGCAGAACACCAAGGTATTTTAAAGCATCCCTTCACCTCTGGGTTGCCCTGGATGCAGTTACATTCTCATCTCCATGGTGGATTCCAGCAGGCGAGCACTGTTGGTGATGGCCGTCGTCAAGATGATGAACCGGAGCCCTGGTGGGGAGGCAAGCACCAAAGGTAACTCTGCAGAGAACAAACACCTTCCCTGACCTGGAGGGTGGGGTGGCAGTGATGCTGAGACCCTGGCTCAAGCCCCTTGTCAACCTAACCTATCTATCCCATGGGACTGTGAGAAGAACTGAAGGAGGGAGGGCTATCTACACTCGCTTGACCTCCTGAAGGAAGAGCAAGACAAAAATCCAAAAGACACTCAGTCCCAAAAGAAGCCTAGCAGGAACCTACTACCACCAACCGGCTTATCTGTGTAATTGGACGCTGAAGGGAAACTAGTTACAAAAAGCTTACTTTTTCCTCTCAATTTGCTCTCTTCCAAAATGGCTAGAAGCAGGGCCCTCACTTCAATCTAACTTGCACTACCACCACCCCCGGTTAGATGCAGGGGCTTGGAATTTTCCACCACGCAAGTCCACTAGCAATTGCCCCAGTTTGGGTGCATCTCATACCTCTTTCTTTGCCAAGGAAGCGGAGAGCAGCAACTTCAGACAAGGTGCAGCCTCCTAAGAAGACTGCCAGGACGACTTGCTGGGGGGCTGGAAGCCGAGGTTCTTCTACAACTGCAAGGAAAACATACCTAAATCCATGCCTCCAGATCAGCTGGAAGATGCATGCTCACCCCCGGAAGCAGAACGCTGAAAAAGGAGCAGCGGAGCCAGCAAGCCACTTGCCTGTGACAAACTCATGGCCCCCAACCAGCCTCGCCACCTCTTCCAGGCCCAGCCAGCTCCTGCGCTCCAGCACCTGAGATAGAGGATGGAGTCAAGCCAGAGCTGCCAAGGGGGGGGGAAGAGGAGCCCCCCCAAACTCCCCCATTGGTCCCAGCAGTTCAAAGGCTCTTAGGCACCTGCTCCATTATCTTGCAACTGAGGGGTACGTAGGCGCCACTGAACACGTAGGCCATGTCCCGGGGCACTTTCAGGTCGTATTCTCCATCCCCACATGGGATCTGCAAGGAAACAGGTGGTCACAACTGGAGGCCTCTTTCCTCCCTGCCTTAACTGAATCACAAACTCACCAGGCCCAGTTTCTTGCTTATAGCTCGGAAATTGTTCTTCCTGGCCAGGGAACTGAAGGCATCTGACAGCTTTTCTGGGGCGGGGGGAGGAGGAAGAGAAAGAGGGGGAGGAAGGCGAAAGGGGTCTTGAGGACTGAAGACACCCATCGTCTTTGTCCCTCCCCAGAAGGAACCGGGGTGCCACGAAATCCCAAAGGTCCCTCACCTGCCGCTTTATCTGTCACCAGCTTGCTGACTTTGTTCTCTACAGCCGTCAGAGTCTCACCAGAGACTTGCTCCGTCAAGAGCCCCAAGTGCTTCAGGTTGTGGAAGGTCAGCAGATGCTCTGGTCCGTAACTCTGCCAATGGGCAGGGGCAGGCACCGCAGCAGGACAAGGGACAGGCGGAGGAAATGGTGAAAGTAAGTGAAAGCTTTGGGGTGGGCAGAGCTGCACCTCCAGAAAACTGACTCGGGGCCTTTCTACCACCCAGGGAAGGGCCCCGTGTCTGGCCTCACCTGCAGGTACTGGGTTTTCAGGGAGCGGTAGTCCTTGGGAGAAAGTCCTGGGGAAGAGGAGAAGCTGGGAGGGTCAAGGTACACAACAGGGGCTGCCTGACCCAGGCTTCCCTGCCCTGAGCCAGAACTCACCATTCTCCGTGATCGACAGCAGGCACAACATCCTCAGACTCTCAATCGGGGTAACCTGTCCCAGGAAGAGGGCGGGAGAAGCTGGTCAATGGACAGCCTTCCCCAGGCCTTGGCCCGGGCCGCTTCCTCGCTCTCCTGTGATCCATCCTCCTCTCACCTGCCGGTCAATGTGCTCTTCGATGAAGCTGATGCTCTCCCGGACATCAAAGCCTTCCAGAAGGGCTGCCAAGCAAGCAGAGTGATGAGAGCAAAGCCAGGCCGAGGCCCAGCCTCTCTCTCACCTTCCTTGCTTGCAGAGAACCCACACACGGCCTCTGGCTCCCAGCACCTGCCATCCTCATGAGGCCCCTCCAGCTACCGGAAAGCAAGCAGCAAATCCCACAAGCCATCTGCCAGAAGCAGCCCAGCCCTCAAGCTGAGAGTCTTCAGGAATTAGGCCGATGCCCAAGGCTGGCAAAAGGGGGACCATATGGAGATTACTAAGATCAGCACTCAATGCACACCGATTCCAACCTTGCCTTTTGGAGTAGGGTAATGCGAAGCCCAGTGAGCCAAGGAAATTTAAAGGCATTTTAGAAAGTCTTAACTAAATCCTTGATGCCCTCCCACATTCAGTAACCAACTCCAACCCTATAATCGCATTCAGCCAGTTCGCCTGAACATCCCTTCTCACCATGTTCCGTCTTCAACAATTCCTGGAAATCTTGTCTCGTTTTCTTCTTCATGATGGACTCACAGGCCCCAATATCTGCACATAAAAGGGAGATGGTCAAACCAGGAGGGGAAAAGTATTTTCTGGAACACGCCTATCAGCGAATCGTCCATGAGTCTTAACAACTAAAAACAAGTAAAAACGTCTTGAAGCCCTCCTGCTGGGGCCAGTCCAGGGATGAGTTTTACAGAACGGTTGCAATGATTGCTCTGCTGCCTGCACCTGGCTGGGATGGGGCAGTGGGCCATGGTTGCAAAAAGGGTCCAGGGAGGTTTTGTTGCTAAGATTCCTCTGCCCGACTGGGAGGACTTACGGAGACTCAGCAAGCGATGCTCTTGTTTCAGGCCCTTCAGTTCTTGGGAGACAAAGTTCTTCATTTGCTTGATATCCATCCCCCGCCGTCGCTGGAAGAGAAACATTTCCTACAGGCTGGGCCAGCCACAACTCTACCCCTTGTGGCCGTGATTGCCCCATTCTAGCCTACGCACGTCATACTGGGCTTGCAGGTTCCGGGCTTTCTGACTGAGGAGACCAAACACGTTGGAGAAGTGCTCATTGCGGATTTCGTTGAACACCTGTAGAGAGAGGCAGGCCAGACCAGGGTCACCCAGAGAAGCCCCTCACCACTCTCCCAGCCATCAGGCTTCTGCTCTCAGAAACCCCTGAGCTGCTTTCATCCCAGAGCAGAGAAAGCTTACCTTGTCCTGGGAATTCAGCAGAACTTTAATGCTTTGGTCAGAGGAGGTAACATCTGGACCAAAATCCACACTTCCTGCAGAAAGCGGGTTGCTCAGGTCATTTGCCCCATGGCACCCAGCTTACCGGGGCCCTCTCATTAGTTTCCCAGTAATTATTCTGGATGATGGCAATCTCTGGACACCTCCAATCCAGCCCTCAGAAACTGGAAGGTCAGATGCCAATACCAGAGGCTCAAGGCTGGGGAGGCTCACCACATTTTATGCGGAAGGTATCATCCACCAGGCCTTCATAGACCACCTGAGAGCAAAGGGCTGTGACGTAATCCACATCTAAAAAGAGATAAACATGAGGTGCCTCTTGTAACAAAAGTCCCAGCTCAGAGGCCAAAGCAGCATCTACAGGCAGGGTAGAAGAATAGTCATCTGACGCGGGAGAACAGCTGCCGCTTGGTGCAGACACAGGGTGCTCCCAGGGCTGAGCAGATTATTTTGTCATTCTATCTACCAATTTCAAGCTCATCAATAAACTGTTTGCTCAAAATAAGGCACAACAGCTGCTTCTCTCTGAAGTTCCTGTGGCACCGGAGTCCTCTTCCTTTCCAGGACATATGAAGCCAAGAACCAAAGTCTGAGGGGAATCACTTTCTCTCTTACTCACTTCCAAAATATCCCCCCCCCCACCCCAAACTTGTGGAAAGCTGCTAAGCAAGAGCTCCCACTGGAATCAAGGAAGGTCTCCAGACAGGATATACCCCCCTTCCCTCTCCCCCAGGCACACCTCTGTCTATGAGGAAGATGTGGCCAATCTCTGGTTTCCGGCCCATGTTGTCAGCCTCGCTCTCTTCAGCTAGTTCACGCCAAAGCTCATGGACCATCTAGGAGAAATGAACCCCTTACCCACTGCCCTTTGCCGGACCCCTCAGGATACCACATCAAAGGCAGGACTCCTTGCCAGATCGTCTCCCAGTGACAGGCACCTGCTCTGTCACGTCAACAGAGAGCCAACTAAGAGCAAAGCTTTCAGGAAAGTTTTGGGTAGCTTGGAAGGAAAAGAATCTTTTGCATAAACAGGACTGCATTTAGTCAAAGTGTGTTCTGGGGCCACCCTTCCCTGCTTCCAGCCCAACCGTGGCTAAGCCAACAACAGGCTCCATAGAGCCATTTCTTTCTCTGGGGCACATGATCTCTAAACAGGTCCTCCCGCCTGGGCTGACCTGGCCGCACCTTGGCACACCGCCCAATTCCATAGGTCTTGGTGAATGGGCCAAAGAGAGAGTTCATCAGCTGCAAAGCCTGGGCCACTGTGCTGATCCACCGCTGGTCCGCTTCCTGCAAGAGTAAATGGAATATGACCATCTTGGAACCAGGAGGGAATGACTGACTCTTGGAAACCCAGAAATTTCTTGTATGCATTTGTGTTTATGTGTGCATACACAGGAGTGTACGTGCCTTTGAGTCAGTGCTAACTCTTGGCAATTGTTTGGATAAGTCTTTGTCATTTTCTTGCAGGGTTTGGGAAGTGATTTGCCCTTCCTTCCTTCTCCCTGGACTGAAAGAGCAACTAGCCCAGGGTCCCCCAGCTGGCTTTGCACTTAAGGTGGTACTAGAACTCACAGCTGCCGGTTTCTAGCTTGGTGCCTTAATCACTACACCAAACTGCCTCTCTCAAGGATTTACAAGGCTGGACCAAGATGCAGCCTCCAAGATACTGGTGAGGGAGCAGACATCTACCAAGACATGCATCAAAGCCAGCATAAATGGCCTTGCCGAATATGATACTAACCAGAAAATAATCCCGGAAGAACTCTGGCAGCTCCATGCTGATGATATCATTATCCAGAGGGAGGAGGGAGAAGGACCACTCATCCCAGGTCACATCTAGAGAGTCAGAAATAGTGTTTGAATGCCTGTTCCCTTATCTGCCTTTCACAACCTGAATGAACAGCCAGAGGTTTGAGTCTAGAGCAGTGTTTCTCAACCTTGACAATTTTAAGGCATGTGGACTTCAACTCCCAGAATTCCACAGCCAGCAATGCTGGCTGTGGAATTCTGGGAGTTGAAGTCCACATGCCTTAAAATTGTCAAGGTTGAGAAACACTGGGTCTAGAGGAAGGGAGACCAGCAGAACCATCCCCTCCTGTCTATTTACAAGCCCCCTCTCCCTGTACATTTGGACTGAACAGAGGCATCCAGCTGTGCTGCACTGGACCCAGATCTCAAGACTTACCACCATAGATCCCTTCCTCCTCCAACACCAGCTCACATGCGTAGAACTGCAGGAGAAGACAGACAACTTCAGGCAACCTTGAAAGTGCCATATGCCTCAAGGACCTCAAGGGCTTCTTAATCTTTGCTAGCCAAGGACCCTCTATGGCACAAACGCTCTTTACCAGTTGAGGCTCAATAATCCAGGCAAAGATAACTGCAACGATGCTGTTGGTGCCACCCTTTGAGGCAGGCAGGGCCTTTGTAGCCAGTACCACTCAAGGCCTTCTCCTGAAGATTGTTTCTGGAATCTCTTAGAGTGTTTTTCTACATTTTCTAATCGTGCAGCTTTTAAGGCAGAGGAAAGGGGGATTCTGCTAGGAGGCCGTGGGAGTCTGATGTACTTAAATGTGAGCTGAGAGGCTGACCACACGTCATCTTGGAAGATGGCTGAATTCAGCTGCTGGGTGTCCCAGGAGCAAGACAGGCAAGGCAAGATAACCACCCCAACCTCCTTCCAGGACTGAGCGGCTGCTTTATTATCACAAACGCTCAGCACCAGCCAGTTGCTCAGTTCCTGTGGCAGCTTCTCTCTTGCTCTCTTCCTCCTTCTCAACCTGCTTAGGGAAAAGCTTCATTCCAATGTTCACGAAATACCTCTACAAAGTTCAAGCCCATGGTCACACACACACACACACACACCCGTCAGGAAACCTTTCAGTGATGGGTGACCAGGCTTATCCAACATTCCTGGCCGCCTGTTCCCCCCTCCCCAACACTGGCGAGCCTCACCTTCTGGGGGCTGAAGATGATCTTGTATTTGCGCACACGACCAGCTGCTTTGTCTGCGTTGACCAGCTCTGCAAGGACCACCAAGTCAGCCGCGTCCTCATGGACCCCCGGCCCCCCAGGAGGCGCCTGCCCCTGTCACTCACCCGCCACCAGCCTGACGCTCGCGAGGCGCGGACGGAGCAGGAAGCACAACCTGGAGGGAAGGGCAGGCTGCGGTCAGGGGGCTCTGGGGGAGCGCCCCCGGGTCCTCCGTTCCGCCATCCCCCCCCCCCCCGGCCCACTCACTGGTCGCTGGAGCTGCGCGCCGGCTTCTTCTCCAGCTTGTAGAGCTTGTCCACATCGTGCTGCTGCGCGGAGAGACGGAGGCGGTCAGACGCGGCAGGGCGCGGAGGCGGCGGCTCCCCCCGCGCCCTCCCTCCCGCGCGCGCACCTTCAGGATGGAGACGTTGGCGATGCGGTCCAGCGGGCTCATCAGGTCGGCCTCCAGGAAGAGGTCCTTCTTGCCGGGCAGCTGCGGAACCAAGAGCCCAGTTAGCACCGGCCGCGCCGCCGCCCCCCCGCCCCTCCCCGCGCTGCCCTCGCGCCCACCTGCTCCAGCAGGTAGACCAGCTGATCCCGTGCCAGGCGCTTCAGCAGCCCGACGTCCGGCAGGTCGGGCGGGTCGCGGGAGGCCATGGTGCCGGCGCCCCTCCCGGAAGTGGGCGGTCCGCGGTCCCGGCACTTCCGCCGCGGCGCTTCCGGGTTAGCGCGCGACGCCCCTGTCGGCCAGGAGGCGCCACAGCGGCTCCTCCAGGGCGGGGCAGGTACCACGGAGTCCGTCTGCCACGCGCGCGGCCCACGCGAAGTACTCGCGCACGCGCTGCTCGGACCAACCCACGGGCGTGCGCCGTTGCAGGTCGCGCAGATTGTACAGCTTGTCGGCCAGCGCCACCAGCCGCGCGCCCGCGCTCAGCCCCGCCGCGCGCTCCACCTGCAGGCGCTTCCGCTCGGCCCGGGGCAGCGCCTTGTTGTCTGTCAGCTCCTCCACCAGGCGCCGCACCTCCGGCCCGAAGCGCTGCTCGATCTCCGCGAAGGTGGCGTCCGTGTCTTCCACCGTGTCGTGCAGCAGGGCGGCCTGCGGGGCCGAGGGAGGCTTAGCGCCCGCCGGGAGCCCTCCTGCCGCCGCCCGCCCGCCCAGTCGTCCGGCTCACCTGCAGCACCGCCACGTCGGTCACGCCGCCCTCCTGCGCCAGGATCTGCGCCACGCCTGGGGGGAGAGCGGAGGGGTTAGGGCCACCCCTGCCCGCCTGGCCCCCCGCGCCGCCCCCGCCGCCTCACCGATCGGGTGGTTGATGTAGGGCGTCCGCTCCGGGTCCTTGCGCCGCTGCGTCGAGTGCTTGCGGGCCGCGAAGTCGGCGGCGTCCAGCAGCCACGCCGTCTCGCTGCCGCTCATGATCGGGGTCGGTCCCGGCGGAAGGGAGCGGAAATCCGGCCAGGCCGGACGTCAACGCGGCCCCAACCGCCGCCCGCCACGGGGACATAACATTATGAAATAATAACTGGTTGACTTCATAAAAACTATTAAACCATTGCTTATTTATCACTATGACAGGCTTTACTATTACCATCCAACTGCGTTGAATTTATTGTCTTTTTCACTTAGCATGTAAGACGAAGTCTATACATCCGACTTCATACATGATTTTTTGAAAAAAAAACATAACTACTAAGAAGTCCAATAATAATTACAAGCCTATAACATACAAAGCCATTGCACAGGATTTATACAGGCAGAACTGCATGAATTATAGGAAAACGTAATTTATTCAATTAATATAACTGTCCATCTGATATATGTGACAGGCAATTCACAGAATAGAAAATAGGATGAACTGTGGGTTTACCGGCCATAACACCTGGGTTCAGCCCACACATTTAATTCCAACTGCAACAAGCCAAATAACGGTTTAGCATCGGGTAGGCAACCTTGGCTCTTTTATGACTCGTGGACTTCAACTCCCAGAATTCCTGGGCCATCATGGTTCAGCATGGAAACCTCTCCCTTTCCTCTCTAACATGGCTGGCTCAGGAATTCTGGGAGTTGAAGTCCACAGAGTCATAAAAGCCAAGGTTGGCTGCCCTTGGCTGTTAGCCGGGGGGCCGCGCGCCCGCCTTTTGCTTAGCGCCGGAAGCGGAAGCCCAGCTCGGAAGGCGGGCCCAACTGCGTCCGGTGCAGCCGGCGGCGGCGGCGACTCGCTTGGTAGGAAGAATGGAGTTATTTCATAATGTTATAAATTTATTAACCAGTAAGTTGGGTTAAATAAACTCCGCTTTAGTGCAATTTGCGAAGGCAGCCTCAGCTTCTTTTGTAACACTTCCAAATAAAAGTGTTATTAATCTGTGCAGAATTTGATTTGCAGGCAGGATTACTGTGTAATGGTCTATATATCGCTGAATATTGAGATGTCCTGTAGCTCTGCAAACGCTTCAGAATTTATTCTCTTTATCTTTGTATTTCCTCTTCCTCCTTTTGTTGATATCTTCCTGTTTTAAGCATCCTTGAGGCAACATGATAGATCCTGTTGAAAACAATTTCTTTGGTCTTCCTGAATATGAACACAGCCGGGACGAGACCTTTCAGCCTCTCCCACCTCCAGGCTCTCCAGGGTCAGCTGAAGATGCCTTACTCAGTGGAGGTAATTATTCTCTTGACAATTGAAATGTTATGCATTTATTTGTGAATAAGCCTTACAATATTCCTTGGGAGTGGATTGGCTACGCACAGACGGTGGGGAGGGCTCAGGGCAACCGGGGTTTTAGCTCTATTGGCGCGCAGGAATTTTAGCTTCTGCTTCAGCAATCAGCGTTTCTTAGTAAAATTGCCTTTTTGCTTAAAATGGAATCGAGGTTTACTTCTCTAAGGGGTCAGACTGGGACAGGTCTGACATAAACTGTGCCTTTATTTTGCTTTCATTTAGCAGTCTGATTGTTTTTGAGGGGTCCAAGGTCTTATGATTTTTTTCCACCATATTGCAAAGGCATTTTTCTTCATTTAACTTCTTTTAAGGTCCAGCTTTCACAGCCTTTTCTTATATGGACTTGATAGGACATATTCTTGTTGGCAAGAATGATCTCTCTTCTCTTTAATATTTACTCAGGCAGTAGATGCCTCTGTCTGTTGTGGCTATAGGAACCAACCTTGCCCGTTTTGAGCCGAGGGAGCTAAAGCCAAGCCGTAACTTCAACACCATCTCTGCCCACCTGCCCTAGGTTGACCCTGTTAACGCTGTCTCATTATTTTTAATATTGACTAGCGTGTTAGCTTTGGCCTTCTCTTCTTGCTTGCACATACGTTTTAGCTAGATGCATTTCCTAATATTCATGACAAAAATCCAGTAGGTACAATTTGTATTCCTAGTTTTAGAATTAAATTCTATTTTATTCACCAGATCCAGAGGGAGATCAATTGCCACAAAGCAAGAATTCTTCTGTGACTGCAAGAAGAGCTGTTAAAAGAACAATACCTAAATTAGATGCTCAAAGGTATGTAGTCATGTTTTACTCCCTGTATGTGTGCGTTCGAGCTGCTGGTGTGTCGCGTGGCCCAGTTTGCTATGCCGGTCTCCGCTTCGTTGTGCCGGGTTGGGTTGCTGGGTCACCATGCCTTTCAGGTAGGCCTCCTTTGGCCTAGAAGCCCTCCAGTGTCCACTTTATGATCCTGCATGGTCACTCTGTCAGATGGGGGGGCTCCGCTTCCCGTTCGCTGTCTTGGTTTCCTTTTTTGTGTTTTTTTTCCCAGCGTTGAGCTGCTTAGCTGTGCTCTTGAGCTGGCTCCCTTGTTCTCTGCTACCGGCTGCCTCTGACTCCACATGCAGCCGTTCGTTTGCTGCGTTCTTGTTTGCTGGCGTTTTCCTCCTTGCCCCAGTTTCTTCTTTTCCTTTATTGTTTCTGTCTTCTTTATCTAACTTTCTGTTTCAGTTTCCTCCCTTTTTTCCCCCTTTCCTAGTATCTTCCTACTTAGTTTGGTTACTTCTCTCCCTGTGATCCGATGCTGCTTCCTATTCTACCGCCATCAGCTGCAGTGATTCATTTAACAACTGTGGCAAGAAAGGTCATAAAATGGGGCAAAACTCACAAAAAATTATCTCACTTAGCAACAGAAACGTTGGGCTCCATTGTGGTCATAAGTAGAGGATTACCTTTAATTTGTAAAAAAAAAAAGTCAAGGCTGCTTTCCCTTCTTATATAAAATGAGTTGATTTGGGAATGCTGTGTTCCAAAATGGACGGTTTCTTTATGAACCCTGCTGGACCTCCAGAGTGGTCATGTGGGGAGATGGTTAAATGGCTGGAAAAGTAAACTCTCCAAAATGAAAACAGTTCAAAGCATTCCGGACAGAATTCCCCAGCTGAATTTACTCAAAATTCCTTCCGGCTGAGAGGATTTATTTTCAGATACCACTGACTAATCTATTTCTCAGAACAGCAAGGATTAGTAGTCTTTATAGATAAGTCCAAAGAGCTGTGACATTTGTCACTCTCATTCAGTTGTACCATGTCAATTGATCTAAGCAGAGCAACAAAGCCTGTCGGCTGGACAAGGACTCAGACTCATAAAGGGCTGGCTTTCTCTTTCAAGATCTTGGATGATGGAGTATCTATTTAAGATTTTTCCAAGTAACTGGAGACACTTCTAATGTTTGCAGATTAATTTCAGAGCGAGGACTTCCAGCTTTGTGCAATTTGTTCGACAACGTAAAATTCAAAGGTAAAGGTCACGAGGTAAGAAACGGCTGAGAATGGGATCAGAATCAAGAGCCTAAAGTCCCAGACTGTTTATATGTGAGGGCACGATGGAAAGTATTTATTTATTTTATATATTTATATATACAATTTAGAGACTGCCCGTCTTGCTCCCAGAATGACTGTGGGTGGCGAACAATTTTATGCTGCAATTATGCAGCTATGTTGGAATATAAACCCCAAAGACTGCTCATGAAGGGCTTCTATAACAGATGAAATTCTGAAGTGATCCATGGGAATGTGACTCTATGCCGGAGTTCCCCAAACTTTCTAGCTTTACGGACCGGTGGGGGTGGGAGGAGGGGGTGGTTCTATGTGAGCAGCTCGCACATTTGGGCATGCACACACATGCTTGCCTGCTGTTCATGCAAGTGGGGATGCGTGTGAGCTCCCCCCCTTTCCATGGCCCAGTAGAGGGCTGTTTAAATCCTTTGATTTAAACAACAAAATAAACCCTAATGATGGACAGGTCTCATTATTTATTTAAAGAACTTATATGAGTTTCATGTAGCTCATCTAATGATTTCAGGGCCCTCAAATAGCCAGTAAGCACAAGAATAAAAACCAATAATCCTTCCCACCAGATGCCAGATCAGCCTCCCGACCATCCGAGCTTGGGGGAAGAGGCTGGACTTCATGGCCTTTGGGGACATTAAAAGGGGAGGGGCCCCTCCAGTCTCCTCTGGCTGTGTTGGTCAAATGTATTGTCCTTTATTTAGGAAGCTGACCTGAAGACGCTGATGAGGCACATGGAACATTGGGCTCACCGTCTCTTCCCTCAACTTCAGTTTGAAAAGGTGGTGGACAAAATAGAGAGCTTAGGGAATAAAAAACCTGTTCAGGTGAGAGTGAACTGGATTAGTTTGGGGTGATCAAATTTAAGGGAAAGCTGACGCTTCTTCACCTGTGATAAACAGTTTTACCTTTGCATCTCTAGGTCTGCTTAAAGAAAATTCGACTGGATCTGCCTCTTTTGAATGAAGACTTCAGAAGTAATGAAGGCACGTGTGGCTTTAAAATATTTGCACTGGATTTCTTTTTGTTTTAATGGATCAAATGTAAACACAACTGAGAATAATATCCTAATGGTCTAGGATTTTTAGTTTTTAGTTATTAGAAGTTAATAGACCAGTTAAAATTAAGGTGAAGTTATACTGAGTAACTCATAACTGTTAAGCACTTAGCATAGGTACTCCTCGACGTATGATCACAGATTTCTGTTGCCAAGCAACTTCTTTGAAATTTGGTTAAGAAGCTCAGAACTATCTTCATCTTTGAGGCTGTGGAATTGGGAAGAAATTCGATTTCTAATTTCCAAACAATTGAATGCCCCGGAAAACTGTCTTTCAGACTTAAAAGGAGTTATTTTATTCTCCTCATTCAGTACCATTCAACTTGGGAAGTTGGCCTAAAAAGAGAATACATTTCAGACCAAACGTGTGGCTGCAATAAGTATTGGTTGTATTTGTAAGCAATGCAATACATCCTCCAGGTAGCCACCGACATGAATGAAATGGTTCCTGCCGACAGTGTCTGTCTAGTTGTCAGATTTCTGTGCGATGGCTCCACACATTCATTTTTGAAAGGACTGGATTGCAAGGAAAGAAGAACGATAGGTCGGTTGCTTCTGTATGAATTCCAAAAATTATATAAATATCACTGGCCACAAAAGTAGGTTTTACAACTAGGTTCCTTTATTGTGCAGCCATCCAAAGTTGCTTAGATGAGATGCAGCCATGAAGATCAAATAATAATAAAAATAAACATTTCCTGAAAAGAAGGCATATTGATTTGGGTATTTCTAGCGATAAGGTGTGACAAGAAGGGTGAAGTAATCCCTGGAGTGCTTTTTTTTTTTTGAAGCAATCCAGTTTAGAGACCGGACAATCACCTGAGATGGTATAGGTTCTCCTGCTTGAGCAGGGGGCTGGACTAGAAGACCTCCAAGGTCCCTTCCTATTCTATTCTATTCTATTCTATTCTATTCTATTCTATTCTATTCTATTCTATTCTATTCTATTCTATTCTATTCTATTCTACTCTACTCTACTCTACTCTACTCTACTCTACTCTACTCTACTCTACTCTATTCACTGTAGAGGTTGCCTACCTCAGTGATTCTCAACCTCAGCAGCTTTAAACTGTGTGGACTTCAACTCCCAGAATTCCACACAGCTTAACGCTGAGGTTGAGAAACACTGACCTTGCTGATAACTGATTAATAGTGATACTCTTCCATCTAAAACAGGTGAAGATGAGAACCACAGACTAAGCCCAGCCGCTGAGGAATCCGTTTTCCTTCCCGAAACGCAGAATACACAAAATAAGTCTGGTTCTCCATCTTTAAGTCCTGCCCTGACTGAGGAGCAACAGCAGAGAATCGAATGGAACAGACAAAGAGCCCTGGAAAGAAGACAAGCAAAAAACCAGCTCAGTCAATCTCAGAACGACGGTGAGGTCTATGTATAAATTGTGAAACACCAAGGCATTTGAGGATACTACAATTCTCAGATGCCTGCTCAAAGTCACAATTTTAAATCTTTTAAACCTAGAGAGGTTCCTCTTTCCATCCCTCAAAAGCTGCTTTTCCAAAGGCCGAAGAGTCTCGTTTTAAATAATGCTGGAAGTAGAACTTTGATGAAGCGATGGCTGGAGGGAATGTTCCTATTTGTGTTGCTAGAACTCACGATTCAAGCTGCGGTTGGAAGTTGATGCTTCTTGATTTGATTTTTGAAAAAGGGAACCTGATCTCTGTTTACATTTGAGAGCAACGACGGTAGTGAAAAATTACAGGCTGCTTAATCCACATTGTTGGCAGACTTAAGATTCATGTCACTATAGGTCATTATTGGACTTGGTTATAGTCTTCCACGGAAATCTGTAATAATCAGTATGTGCTTATCAGTATGTACATTTGGATTTTTTTTTTAAAAAAAAGTCAAGTATTTTCTGTAAGTATTTGATCCCTTAGTGATAATTATTTCCCATTTTCAACTAAAGAGATTTTTTCTCACTTCATAAAACTCATGAAGCAATTGACTAGCTGGAAAACTGTGCCATGGTAATTATGTTAGAGGAAAAGAGTTAATGCATAAATAGTGATTATTTTTAAAGCCAACTTTTTGTTTCCTTTAGAGTTGCCTACAAATGAAGAATATGGCACCATTACAGCTCAGGAAAAGGATGATATCTGCATAGACAAAGCTGGTGTCCCTTTTCAAGCCACCGAGAACATGCAAGTAGTATAGATCAATGCCTTTTTAGTTGTGTGGAATAGGTATGGCACAGTTTAGTTTTTATTGCAACTTTAGAAGTTGAGGCTGGTTAATTTGGCAGCTGTTACAATTTTCAGTGTGTTCTATTATGCCAATGTTTTAAAGAACTGTTTCTATTTCAGTGGAAGAACATTTTAAGCTTTAAAGCAACATTTCTACAGCAAATGTTAATGAAAATGACACATAAAAGTCAAATGATGCTATATTTCTACAATTTAAATCTTTTATAACTTTCCCATTGTGAAACATTTGTAATTGCCTCTATTTTATACCAGTAATGAAAATAATAAATCTTGGAAACTAGAACTAATATATAGGCTTCAACCTGGGAAAAAAAATCCACTAATGCTGCAGTTGCTGGTTAAATGCTATGATTGCCTTCTGCATGAAGAAAATGGCTATCCAGACCTCTGGATCTAAAGGCATGGAGTGAAAGGTATGCAGAAATAGTGAACTAAAATTTTTGTTTACTAAAAGAAGCAAGAGATGATTTGGAAAATCTCGAGATCCCATTTCATCAAGGTCACAACTAATACTTAGGCCTTTTCCCCCCCCTCCTCTTCAATCATGTCCAATTTTCAGCAGCTAACTTACTGTAATTTTTTACACAGTCAAAATTACCAAGCAGGACTATTTTAAAGAACTAAGCTGCCACATCATCATTTACTCCCTGAGATGCTTAAGAGCTATTTACACTTCTCTGTATTTAATTTATAAAAAACAAAAGTATATCTTCCATTACCAATAGTTGCTATACGTGGATTTAAGAATGCAATCTTAAAATAGAATTTCCATTTTTTAAAGACAAGCAACATTGTAATAATAAATTTACAACTTTTTAAAAAAGGAAGCTAACAAAAGAGGTTGGGATGGAAGCCGTGTGAAATGAGATCTCACGCTCCACGGTTCACAGATACATCCAAGAGAGACAAATCCTTGATTTCTTCTAGCAAATGATACAAGCTCCTACACTGGGTCTGCCGATACTCTTCATCAAATTCTTCTTTTGCCTGGTTTTCTTTGGCCAAATTCTGTGCAAGTTGAGTTTCCTCCGCAGTCTTTGTGACTTCCCTTATTAAATCTGTTTTAGACATCTGGGACCTCTGAGACAGTTCCATTTCTGAGATCTTGTATGGTTTGCAGCTTGTGATCTGAAGTTGGATCCTATCTGCATGGCAGCGAAATGTCTGTATGGAGATTTTCACCTGGGCAAAACCAACTTGGAATAAATCTCTTTGTTGGACCTGGCATAGCATAAACTCCTAAACAGAAAACATCCTTGGCCCATTTTGCTGAGAAAGGTATAGTTTATTGAGAAGTCAAGCATATTGCAATAATGCAAAGCCAGAACTGAGAATTGTGTGCCAAAATCTCTAAGTTCAACTCTCCCCCCCTTAGCTACCTCCCATCACCCACCCCTGGGCTACCAATGAGGTTCAGGCAAGATGTTTTCACAATGGACAGTCCAGGCACACTTTGGTATGCAGCTGGTATACCAGGTGACCTTGAAGCAGCATCTCAAGGAGATACAGAACTTACTTCCAATTTCCCCCAAGCTTTCCCCATTACATTTCCCTCCTCCCCAGAGTTCATGGCAGTCAGTTCCTGAATAGTAGCGAAGCACAAGCAGGCATAAGATGGCAGCTGATATTCTTGCTCCTCTAAATAAACTGACGGGGCATGTCGTAAAGCAGCGGCCCCAAACCTTTTGGGACCCCAGGGATCGGTTCTGTGGAGGGAGGTTTTTCCACAGACTGGCGAGGGGTGTGGTTTCACATGCTGCCTGGATCCCGTGTATGCGCGAATGGCGCTTTGGTTGCTTGTGTGGCATGGTTCCTGGTGGGCTGCAGACTGGGGACCCCCGTTGTAAAGGTTTATTACTTACAGTCACATGATCAAAGAGGTTCAGAGTCACAGGCTCTCCAGCTGTGGGACTGGCAATAATTTTGGTGGGGAAGCGCTGCAGAGAACCAGGTTGCCATTTACAATCCCCACCTGTTGGGTAGGAGATGACCAACCCTTCCTTGTTCCTCAGATAGGCAGCCCCTTTAATACCGTACCTGGAAGAGAAAGGGCCTGGTTGACACTTAAGCAAGATCCTTTATACCTTTATTTTTAATAGCTAGGATGCTGATGCATCATATAGAAGTCATGGGCCATAAGTTAAAGGAACAGAAGCCTAGATTGGCTGCTGAAGAAAAGAACACTCTGTATTGGCATCCTGAAGATCATATCCCAGATACCTTATTTGGGGGAGGAAAACACACCCCATATCAGAGACTCCTCAGAGCATGCACAAAGGAGCAGCTGTGGAGAACCTGTTCTAGAGATACATGTCAGCCCTTTGAGAAGGTCCAGACAAGAAGTATAAACCATGAGTATTAAAGGTGCTTTTTCCAAAAGGCAACTGGACTGGGTTTTTTCCTGGAAAACGTTTTGCTTCTCATCCAAGAAGCTTCTTCAGTTTTCAGTTCTTGGATTAGAAGTAAAACATTTTCAAGGAAAAAAACAAGGAAATCCAGTTGCACCTTCTCCCTTCCCCTGCTTTGACTTTCCATAGAACTGGAGGGTCCCTTCTAAGACCCTTCCCACACCTCTGTTCCTTCTGTGGGCCGAGATGCCTTTTGCTTGATACTGTCTAGGGCTGCAGTTCTTCCAAGATCATTCTCACATGCCGTTACATGGACTGAGGTCTAAACCACGGCATCTTTTGCTGTGTTTGGCACAGACACTGTTACCAGTCGCTGTGTGCAAAGATTTGCTAGCTAATCGTGGGATCTCCATGGAGCCTTTTCCCAAGTTTCTAAGTTTAGCTGCCTCATCTTTTGACATTCCCTTAACAAAACGTTTCTTTTTCACTGTAGTGAATTCAGGACAATTTCTTTCTTGAGATTTCTGCCCTTGCTTCCCAGGGCATTGTCACATCCACGGCCTTTCCTTACCCATCTTCAAGATGTCTCACCTTGGCACAAAGACGAGCACCCCGTTGGTTCGAATTGAATAGATCACTCCATCCGCTGAGCACTGCTCTTCCCTCGCGGGACTTTTGTCGCTGAAATACATGCACTGGAAGAGCCCCGTTGACTGCTTCTGAGCATGCTGGGCGGCCTTTTCAAAGAAAGCAACTGCAATTAGCCAGAGAGTTCCTTCTCCAAACATTTTAGAATCACACTCTCAGATATTGTCAAATCTAGGACCTCTAATGTTGCCTGACATTTCTTTGGATCTTGTTCCTTTGGCATCAGTATCTAACTGCTGGTCTGCTCCATTCCAACAAGCTAATCAGTAACTTTAAATAGAAAACACACCATGGCTATTAAAAAGAAAAAAAATAGAGCCAGTTTGGTGTAGTGGTTAAAGCAGCAGGCTAGAAATTGGAGACCATGAGTTCTAGTCCCGTCTTGGACACAAAGCCAGCTGGGTGACTTTAAGCAACTCCTTAAATACTTGCCAAGAAATCTGCTGCACTTGTCCAGGCAGGAGTCAACACTGACACATGCCCGTCTGCATGTTGGAACATTTCCAGAATTGCTATAGCGAAGAAGTTTTCAAACCTCAGATATGCTTCTCTCTGTTAAAGCATGGATAAATTACTACAAAAGGACACTGGTCTGCAGTCTTACCCGGTTCCTGTTGTTGATATGTCTGCACAGCTCTTCAAGTTCTTTATTGCCAAGCAAGCAGTCTTTTATACCGAGTTCTTCTTCCATTGAGGTGGCTGCTAACAGGAGTCTATGGACAATTATATCAGCGTATCTCCTAATGGGTGACGTGAAGTGGGTGTATTTATCTAGGGCAAGACCTAAGATGGAAAGAAACTAGTAAGCCCAAAGTCCACAAGACCATGTGCAGAAGTAAGAAACAGATACGTCACCCGTATTACAGCAAATACCGTAATGAAAGAAGTCTTCTTCAGGACATGATCCAGTTGAAAAATATACCGCGTTGGACATGGCTTGAGTGACCATAGACCTCAACAGTTGGTTTACCAGGGGGTCAGAAGGGTCAACTGCTCTGTCCAGAGAGTCAGCTAATGCCTTGTTAGACCTGTCAACGTGAAAAACTATAATTACATCTCTGAATTGCCCCATGCCATATAGCAGGGATGGGTAACTAGGGCCCCTTTATGACCTGTGGACTTCAACTCCCAGAATTCCTGAGCCAGCCAGGGAGGGGTTTCCAAGCTGAGCCATGCTGGTTCAGGAATTCTGGGGAGTTGAAGTCCACGAGTCATAAAAGAGCCAAGGTTGCCTACCCCTGGCCTAGACATTAATAACTGAACCTAGCTCTTTTTGACATATATATTGTATTAAGTTCTATTAATCTAGTTGAAATGTTAATGTGTATAATATGCCATTGGCTAAATAAATAAAAAATCAATCTACATACCACGTGTCAATCGAAAAGTCTTTTGCACTGGCACATTCTCGGACCTCGGAAAAAAATTCCTGCCGGGGTGGCGGATGCTGACGAAGAAGCGCCTGGTTGGGGAACACCTGCCAAATCTTCTTGGCCACCCAGTGGTTTGCCAGGATCATGCACTCGGCTATCGTCTCATGGACTTCCAGTGGCTGGCGGGGGATAAGGTCATTGATGTTCTTCTTGTCATCCAGCTGAACCCTGATTTCAATCCCTTCCAGCTCCAGGGCTCCATAGCTGCTGCGTTTGGCTCGGAGATGACGGGCAACGTCCGTTAACTTTCCGATGGCCCATATCAGTTCCTCTAACTTCTGTTTCCGTGCATTTTCCTCCATGCTTTTAAGCTCTGGGATTTCAGCAGCAGCAGTCAGGTCTCCCTCTAGCAAAGCCTGGGCAGCCTCGTAAAAGAGTTTGTAAGAAGAGCGAATGATGGTTCTCTTGTACCGGACTCTCTTTATTTCATAAGAAGTCTTGTCCAGCTCCCAGATAACGCTCACGGCATACCTGAAAACGAATATTCAAACCATTGCTGATGAATACGCTTACAAGCAATGTTTTGTACAATAATAATAATGCAGAAAAAAGTTTACAAGTAGCCTATGCCGTTTAAAGCAACCACTCCAAGCTTCCAAGTCCTAGTTTGGTGGAAGGATGGAATTTTGAACGGGGATGAGCACAAAAAGAAAAACGATCTGACAGCTAGATATCTCTTGGGAGGCACAGTGAAGATTCTTCTACTTAGTGAAGAATCTTTGCTTAGATTTAAGGACACTGTTTTTCTATGCTTGCTATTTCGTCTTATTTATAACAAATACTCTCTAAGCAGTTTATAGAGTCAGCCTATTGCCCCCCAACAATCTGGATCTTCATTTTACCGACCTCAGAAGAAAGGAAGGCTGGGTCAACCTTGAGCGGGTCAGGATCGAACTGCCGAACTGTTGGCAGTCAGGAGAAGTAGCCTGCAGTACTGCATTCTAACCTGCTGCGCCACCACAGCTCTTAACAGAATTGAATAACAGAGTTAAAAGGAACCTTAGAGGTTGTCTAGTCCAACCACCTGCTCAGGCAGGAGACCCTGGCCTATACCATTTCAGAGAAATGGTTGTGCAATCTCTTCCTAGGAAAAATACAGTGACTTTCAGTTTGCAAAGTTCTGCTACTGTAACCCTATAATGAAGACAGAGCTCGTATTCCTGGTAATGCTTTTTTCAGTACTAGCAAGGCTAACAGGCTTGGACCTAATAATATGAAATGTGAATCCAACCAAATCGTTTTTTCAAACAGTACTGGAAAACCAACTTTTACTGCACTGGGTGGACCCAGTCATTCACTCAGCAAGAAATACCTTGTATTTTCTTAGTTAAAAGACTGCAAGTTTTTATATTTGGAGTCATAGTTCCCACAGAGTTAGAGTAATGAAAAGGCTGGGGGGGGGGGCTGGCTTAACTTCTGCAATGCAAGGTGCTAATAAGGCTTAAAACTCACCTGTCCATATTCCCAAGAAGAGAGCATAAATTGGCACTCAGGATGGCAGGCAACATGTCATAACGACGATCGGCTAAGTAGTAAGTAGTAGCCCTTAAGAAATCGGGAGAAAAAGTACTCAGTAATTTTTCTCTTACTATATATTTTGAAGCTTAAAAAAGTTAGATACACCTTCTAGCATCATGATCTTTTTAAGCCTTCCAGTCAGTCTTGACTCCTGGCAATTGCCTGACCATCTCCAGGTAACACATTCAGAGGTATTCAGATTTTGTTGTTATTGAATATAAAATGATTTATATAGATTAACAGGTGTAGGTTTTATTTAATTAGCATTTGGATGAATGATAAAACGTTAATCTTTGTTGAGTCAGTTTACTGTTGTGGTTAAGCCAGGGGTAGGCAACCTCGGCTCTTTTATGACTCAGGAATTCTGGGAGTTGAAATCCACAAGTCCACGAGTCATAAAAGAGCCGAGGTTGCCTACCCCTGGGTTAAGCCCTCAGGTCCTCTTTGTCTTCCCCACGTTACAGTATCCAGGGCTTAAGCACGATATTCTCTGTATGAATTCTTCCAATTACTCTTGGCAGATTTTCCTTGCTGCTACACAGAAACAAGCCTACCTTGCTTTGGCCTCCATATCGGTGTAAGAATTGGCTGCCACAAAATGAGTTACATCGGCAATGTGGACACCCAGTTCCAGGTTGCCATTGGGGAGGAGCCGGATGGAGAGGGCATCATCCACATCTTCACAGTCTTTGGGGTCAATGCTGAAGACCAAATGGGTCTCTCTCAGATCAAGGCGCTTTTGCTGCTCTTCTGGAGTGACTTCCCACGGCTTTTCTGGAAGGAGAGTGGGCATCTCACACATCTAGAGAAATAAACAGTGAGACAATGAGCAACCACATTCTGAAAGTCAACCTTCGTTTAGGTTTTCTCTGACAGACGCCTAATTATACTAAGTAGTCTAATGGTGAATAGAATTCAACAACCGTCTCTTTTTTTTCAGTTCTGTTTTTAACTTTGAACAGTCATTAAATGAACGGCTGTAAATTGAAGACTACCTGTGCACAGCCCCTAGTATTTGTTAATTCAATGTTCAATTTAATAAATAAATTTAAATGTAATAAAGAATGCCAAAGCAAAACAAGAACAAGAAAATCTTACCTGTGCTTCGGAGAAAGGACTAACTGAAATGGTATTCTCCACCAGAATGGTTTGTATTTCTCCTTCGAGATCTCCTATGCGGCCGACAACCCGCACAAAATGTCCATTGGGGTATAGCGAGGATGATTCCCAAGAGTCGATACGTACGACAACCCGGAAATCCTGATGCGAAACCACATTGGATGGGTCAGAACAGCAGAAAATACATTTGCACAGACACACAGGATGCTGAGGGAACTTTGAATGCCAAATAACGGCTCACCTGCAAGGCCTCGGCTTGCTGAGTGCTTATGCGGATCTTTGGAATCCTGTAATCCCAAGGGGTCACCAGAACCTTCTGCGCGTTTTTGCCGTGCGAGTGATTTTCTTCCCTGGATGGGAAAGTGACCACGTACTCACGCCAGTTCTTCTGCAGGATGCCCACCACTTTGCCTAGAAGGAAAGCCGACGCCAATTGTACATGGCTGGCAGAAAGGAGCTGCAGAAGAGTATCATTTGAAGGAGGCATCATCTACTGAATGGGAAATCTTGTGTCGGGAAGTGTTGTGATTCCTCGCCAGCCAGTGGATCCGGCAGCTGAGTCTGAGGAATCGGAGGAGGAGGAGGGGCCTGGAGTGAAATCAGAGTCACAGGAAGACTCTGAGGAGCTCCAAGACTTACAGTCGGACGAGTTCAGAGTGCACACCTTACATAATTAAGCACCATACCGTAGCCAACCCCAGTCTTATACACCTCAATATCGTCTCTCTGAAGACCTGGGTTACATTTGACAGCACAACAGGAGTATAACTGAGGCTTGCAGCCAATCAAATGCAAATCCAGTCTAAACAGGTCTTGCTTCCTGCCTCCTACCTGTGGGCATGGGTTCACAGTAAACCTCCCCAGAAGCTTTCTCTTCGCTCTCGTTCTCTCCGAGGGCCGCTGTCCGTCCTTTCCATTCCCTTTGGGGTAACAGTTCCACTGCCACC